TGAAAGAATACATCACTTCTGTACTCTCGCACTCCAAGCGCTTTAAACAGCATCTCAGCCATTTCTTTTACATCTAAGTGCTTTCTGTCTACCACTCACACTCTAGTGAACTCATTGGGAACAACTCGAGGTTAATATCGTGCCCAAGGATACTTTGGCATGCAGAGTGGAGCAGTTGGGGAATCGAACCACCAACCTTTCACCAACCACAACCACCCCGATTGATTTGAGTGATTTGAGTCTGATTTAATGATGATTCAGTTAACATTTTCTTTCAGCAACCATCCTGTCACATTACGAACAACTAAAGAGAATCATTTGTAGGTGAGGTTATGAATAATATTGAAAATTTCATACATGGTTCAAATGCACCTGACCGCAGAGGAGTCACAGCCTGGAGAGATTTCAGACACAACACACTTACACGCATTACCCTCTTTGCAATTAAACAATTGTCTATTCTTTGCTGACTTATCTCTTCATGCCCGTGTATGCAAGTGTGTTTATGTGAGCATCTATTACTTCTGTGACATTTATGAGAGAAATCAGACAGGTCATATTCTTTGAGGTGAAGGCTTTAGTGTGCTGCAGAGGGAAAAGCAGTGGTCTGTGGAAATAATAGGCGCTGCGCTGCCCACATCATTCACCTCTGTCGACTTGAGCTGAACGCCTTCTCGTTAAAACGTAATCACTGGCTTCAATTATTATTGTTGTAACTGAAGTCGTATGCAGGCCTGCAGGACACGAGCAGCTTTCCCCAAATTCAGGTTCAGTGTGAGTGGTTGTGAACACGTGACATCCCGACTCCCTATAGCGAGATCACAAGAGGAGTCTAAAACACAGTAAAATGGTATGATCCAGACAAAATGAACCATATACAATTTAAAAGAATAAGGCTCTATTTCTTTTAATGAAATCTACCAGAGCAACAGTTTTAGCAGAATTATCACAGTCAATGGATGAAAAAAAGAATGAAGAATGGAGAAGTGTAGCACTGAGTCACACACTCGCTTCATCTTCTTTGTTCCTCCCATATGGTGAGTTTTACAGTATCATCATAAGTTTTAATCCTCTCCTTTCTCATTGGTTTTAAGCACTTCATGTTATTGCTGCGCACCTGTCCTTTTCTGCTATGAGACAACTCGCTGCCATTTGCCAGTCTTTTTGTGCTGCTGCTTCTCACTCATTACTGGAGGCTTCAGCTCTCACAAAGACAAAAACGAAAACAGATGTGAGCCTCAGTCATAATTTTTCAAAGAATATTAAGCGAGCGATTGAATTGGCTTTTATAGAGGAGTGTAGTGCGTGCTTATGTTACAGGTGTAGTGTTGCCGGGCAGACTGCAGAGCTGAACTTGTGAGGCTCTTTAAAATGCAGTGGCGTATTGATTTCATTTCATTGTTTAATTAGCTGTAGTTGCAGACTTTGGCTTCACTGTGTGGACAGGAACACTGTTAACAAGTGAAAAACTTAATTTCAAATACAATATTTGTTACTTTTTATGCTTTATATTATTAGCAGGGTGGATAATAAAAACACAGCAAATGTTTGCAATAATGAGGTTAGAAAGTAACTCAAAATCTGACCTAAACACTAAATTTCAAACAGCTACTTCTGATCTTGGTGGATATTATTATTAT